AGGCTCGTGTAAAAACATAGACCGTCGTACCTCAATTTCTATTTTGCTTATAATCCATCTCGATCGATGAAACAGACGCTATTTTTGTGTAAATGCTTTACACGAACTAGGTCTTGCAAAGTCAAACTCTCTTTACAACAAAACCGACCTTTTGCTGGATGTGATGCTCAGTCAGAAAAATGGGGAATGATACGATAATTTAGCCGGTGATCAATATTCACGGGATTTTTCATCGTAGAGGTTATTAGGTCTGTAGGGCGTCCGACGGAGAACCGTGAGGTCCTTCATTCGAGCTCCGGTCGAGTGAGTCATCTTCTTCCGTCTGAGAAAGACAAATGGCTACCACTCTTTTGGAAGGAAGCAATAGACTACACTCTGTATTTTCCACACAGCTGCACTATTTGCCTTTTAAGAAGGGCACTCCTGGCTGATTGTGTAGAAACATAGATCAGTGCCTCACCATTAACTTCATGAAAAGCAGGGCGCCGTAAATTGCCCCATCATAAAGATGTAAGGAAGACCGACCTGTTAATGGTTATAAATTTTCATTTTTCCATTTTTTTCATAACAGGGTTATGTGGGTCAATATAACGATGAACTAGCCCTCCAAAGTTGATGTATTCAAGGTCTGGTGGTTGTATCACTCGCCTTTCATCTTTCCCTAGATAAACGAATACGCTTATCGGGATAGGAAGCATGAAACTACGCACCATACTTCTCACATAGCTACAGGCAGGGCTTTTAGATATATGTACTCTTGGTTGGTGGCAGAGAAATTGAGGTCAGTGCCACGCCGTAGGCACCGAAACAAGAGTGCCATTATAGAAGTGCAATAGAGACATCCCCACGGGTATAACGTTTCCTTTTACTGTTCGTTGTTTCTCACAGATTAATTTCAAGCAGTATCAAATGATGAACACTTGAACCTATAGTTCACAGACAAATGCCATTGTTAGTGGTATTTACTTGTTCGTTAACCTGCTGGTTCAGTAAACATTATTAACGGGGTGCTTAATTCTGTTGAACCGCGTGTTTCACTTGAAAACGTTGTATAAGCGTTGCTGTTGTTATCCAGAGTTCTCTCGACTTGCCCAAGCGAGCTCTGAAGAAGTTCGAACGCAAGCGGCAACAAAGTCTGGCGAAACTGGTATAAATATGAATATAATAAGTGCTGAACGGTTGCTGTGTGCGTCTGGTCGTCGTCGTCGTCATTGTGAACGTCTTTAAACACCGACACTAAACTCTTAACTTTTCTAACGATATAAATAGCGTCTAGCGAGACTGTGTTTTCTGTGGCAATGAATTAACACACTGCGTGTACACGCGTAGTGAACTGGACTTTGGTGCTGTGCGGCATCCGTTGCCCGAGTGCTGTGTGAGGCGGCGGCAGCGGCGGCGGCGGCCTTAACACTACCCTCTGACACTCACTTGCCCAACAGTGATTTGACCCGCAAATCGGCGTTGCTGTCCGACTGTCGTGACGTCACTGTGTTTGCCTTTAGACGTTCGTGCTGTCCGAAATCACCGTTTCGAACAAGAGCAACCTACAGGATCTGGAGGCGAAGATATGCAACATGATAAACGTGAAAGTATGGCCCGTTCAACATCGAGTTCCGTACTCTACCTCAGGGTTCATCGACGTCATCAAAATGGCCAGGTCATGGCGTCGCAGGGCACCAGACAGAGCGGATATCAAACCGACGATAGTTATATCGCAGTGCGTACTCCGTATTTGATTTTTGTACATTTACGTGATATTTGCATAGCGTCAAATGCGAAAAGTATTCGTAGTAAAGGCAAAGTACAAAAGTACTTTGAGGCACAGGTGGTTTGTCCCCAGTGCTTGTCTATGAGGTCTGCTTCGTACCGAGATCGATTTGCTTATTCACGAATCCCTTGAGCAAGGAATTTACCACACGTTGCTTCAGATCCGGATTGCTCAGTCGGTAGAGCATTGAACTCAAAACCGAAAGATGCGAGTTGAAACCTCGATCGCGGATGAGTGACACGTGGCTGATAAATGAGTACCGCTCTGTGGGAAAGAACCGGAAACTTACACGCTGCGCTTGCCACGTGGCTGTAAATTTTGTCTCTAAAACATGGGACATTCCTGGCTGATGTCGTTGAAACGGAGATCAGCACCGCTCCATCAACTTCATGAAAAGCAGAACGATGTCATCGCAAACAGGGTCCAGTCATGAAAGTAAAGGAAGACCGACCCTTCAGCAGTGGCAAACTTCTTCCCTTTCCTCTCTTGTTCCTATTTTTATAGCTTAGCATGAGTTTCATAGCTTTATAGCTTTGGTCTTGTGACCTACAACACCTGTTAGTGGTTTCGAAAGAATTACTCTCAAGCATGTCGCTCCGCGGTTTTGCCCATTCTCCTCAGCGCAGAACTCATTGTGAGTCTAATATGCAAAGTAACCATATTTGGTAATTCAGCAGTGGTAAGAGGCTACTGGCAGGAGTCCTTTATCATGCTTGTAGTGCAATTGCAAGAAATTGATGCCATTAACAGAAAGCAGGTTTCACTGTATAAAACATGGTGAAATCACGTGAATTAATGTATAATGGATTTTCCTAGGACCTTAGGCAAATAGTGTATGCATTATCTCTGTGTGAGACTTCCTCACCATCAACCTTGCAGTGGATAGATAGAAAGCAAATGCTCAGGCTATTCTTTAGAGCTCAAACTCCAGGACAGTATGAAATATGCCGTTACATTAATTTCGACGTCGCAATTAGTCCTATGAATCTTTGGTAAACAAGAAAAGGAATATTGTGCATTACATTTAAAATAAACACCGATCGTGTCGGTTTAATAGAATACTGCTAGTTTTCGATATCGCCGTTAAGAAAAATGGCATTTCTCTTTTACTAGCGGATTTACGCGGCGTCCCCTCCCTCTAGGGGCCTACTGGACTATTTTTCTCAAACGAGGTACCGAAAACTACCGATAAAATTTGTGTTTATTTGTACGTAGAAGTACGCCTATGAATGATACCCTGTCTCCAGGTGTTAGGACAAGGGGTGCCAAAATAGAGTGGAGTCATGGACTGCTTAAATGATCCCTTAGACCGCTAAAAGCAGGAGACGGTGCCTGTATGTCGTGTAAATCCGGTAGTACAAGAAAAATGCATATATTCTGTATCGCTGGTCAAATTTTAGTCTAGAAATTTAAAACGGGGACGAAACGCACCTTTGGCAGAGACAAGGGCCAACGCTAATATGCATCTATTTAACATGGTTTATTCTAACGCAGCACCTGCTGTCAACATGTAATGACTGGATGGCCTGTAGCCACGGATCATCTATCCCATACGTCTTCAGGGTTGCCCCTAGTTTGTTGGGCGGGATCCGGTCACAGACTTTCTTCTGGTCTAAAGGACGCATGTAAACCGAATGAACGAACTCGCATGATTTTTCAGCAGTCAGATGTAAAGCGAAGATCTGATCAGCGGTGCTTCTGCCTGAGGGAAAGCCACGTCAGCAGAAGTCATACAATCGGCATCTCCTCCGCACCTCATTTGCTGCACTTCTGTATAGGCCTTCCTATGAGGTGCAGTATGATAACTCTTCAATAACTGATGCACTCCCCATGATCTCCCTTTTTAGACAGAGGTAGCAATTTCCGCAGTTCCCCAGTTTTTGGTAATATTTTCTCTGCAGCCACAACATTAATTCATCACCGTATTAAAGTCACTTTCTTTCCAGCTTACCATCTATACTACCAGAGTGTTTGAGTTCTGATCTAATATCTCTGTCTGTTGAAAAATGTATCGCTTCCGTCATCTCATCTGAGATTATACTCCTAAGTTCCAGTAAACTGTCGTCATATAAAGACAACAGGCCTAAAGAAGGTATCCGCGTGTGATACAACGCATTTATGATCTGCTTTGTTTCAGTAATGGCGTCAGCAGATGTGGTATCTTCATCGCTATGAACATCCTGATAGATCAGATCAACATGGAGAAGCAAGTGGACGTCTTCCATGCCGCAAAAATGATTCGGTTAAACAGGCCACAGCTGTTTGACAATAAGGTATAACCTTATATTCGTACACTTCTGCTGTAATTGGCCTTATTGCTGAGGTCTTAATAATCGAACAGAAAGTTTCTGCTGATGCCGACTGCACAGCAAAAGCCGCTTTTAGCTGAAACCAGGTTTCAATTGCAAATTTCCGCTTTTTTAGTTTAAGCTGTTTCATTCACAAATACAATCGTTCATGTACATAAGGAGGGACCACGATGGAGTACACATACTCTTTGGAAAATCGTATTTTGCTTACACGGTCAAATTGGAAATTTATTAGGTTGATGTGAGGAAGAACTTTTGTTTTTCTACTGCCTTTCCAGGCCCTTTATTAGGCTATTGGATTTTTTGAATATTTCTAACGCGGTTCATTATGTTGCTGATGATCTGGATCAACGTACTTTCATGTTGGTGATAAGTTTTACAGCGACAAATCAGTTTGAACTTCTTCACCGATGTGATGACGCACGGTTATAACGTGATTTCCAATTTTACTGATTGATACCGTAAATCTACTATGCCCAGGGGGTTACAAAAGTAGAGGGCTTTACAATAACGCTTTGTAAACAGATTGTGTGAAATTTCGCTTCAGTGTCCTACACAGAGAAGCCATGGTGCGGTCATTGGAAGTTGACGCTGATTCCGCGGCGATCAATAACAAAATATAAATGGTCTTCAAGGGTGAATGATCGCTTTATGCATATAATTAACAGTTCAGTTTAGTGCGATGTTTAATTTCATGATTATAATCCATTCGTTCATACCTGTTTTGCTTTGTTTTTTTTCATGTTTTATTTTTAATTGCTTTTGATTCGTTCATATTTTAAACGTTTGCACTAATGGTGGCAAAGGCACATCGGTTTGAACGAAGTTAAGACGCCGGATCTTTTATG